GAACCCAGAAGTACCAGAACGGGTTACTTCCGGGTTTCGCCGCTCGCACATGCGCAGAAGCACCGAATCGCGACCCACACAGACACGGCGCTGCGGGTTGCGAACGTGCCTCCCGCATGGATCACCTTCGCAACCCGAGGTTCCACTGTACACTGTTTGAAGGGCAATGTCCACCAACTTTGGGTGGGGGGCTGGCCCCCTCAAATAGTTTATATTTTATAGGAGTTGGTTCCCATGCTGACTCATTTCCCCCTGTTTTTGCCAAAGCATTACCAGCGGGAGTGGGTCTTTGACTGGATCTTCTACTCTTGAACAGCCCATTTGCAACTGAATCCAATACGCTTATCTCTTGCATGAAGCAACTGCCTTCTGGCATGCCTTGCAAGAACGAATTCCTTTCCCCACACAAATAACCCAGAGATGCATTTTAAATTAAAGGACACATTCTACTCATATGAAAAGACACTGATTCCCAGACTGGATTGAGAAGGCACGGGCCTTAGGTTGCCTACCCCTGGTCTAAAAGGAGGGAAGAGGGTGCCTAGGGGTTGTTTTGTAGGCAGCCCTGGCTACAAGCGCCCCAGGCGAATGGTGCCTCAGGTCCTGGCCAAATGGGTGCTTGTGAGGAGGCACCTCTCTATGGGGCAGGGGGCAGCTCAGAGACCAGGGGCAGCAGCTGTGGCTGCCCAGAGGACAAGACTCTAAGCCAGTGTAGTGTAATGTTTAGAGCCCACAAAAATCTCTTGCAGTTGCAGTCAGAATGCAGAAAACCAATAAGAGAAACATGCAGGTGTTAAGTATGCTGTTTGAAAGTGCACAACACAGTGTGACTTTAAATGACCTTGTGGATGAAACATCAGGGCTTGGATTGAAACATTATAAAAGTAGGTCATGCTGTAAATAGGCATACATGGAACTGAGCGCCAGGCTGGTTTAGTTGTTTCCAGAGTCACCTGAGATTTCAAATATTTTGATCCTAGTATTGTCCAACCAACCAAGGGTGCTGTAGGCATATATTCTAGGGTTGCTCACATCGGAAAATTTGGACCAACAGTAGGAGAACACTTCAATCTCCCAGGACATCTATACAAGATCTCAAAGTACTGTAGCTATCTTAAAGGTAGAGGGTAAAGGGACCCCTGACCATTAGGTCCAGTCGTGACCGACTCTGGGTTGCATGCTCATCTCGCTCTATAGGCCGAGGGAGCCAGCGTACAGCTTCCGGGTCATGTGGCCAGCATGACTAAGCCGCTTCTGGCGAACCAGAGCAGCGCACGGAAACACCGTTTACCTTCCCACCGGAGGTACCTATTTATCTACTTGCACTTTGACGTGCTTTCAAACTGCTAGGTTGGCAGGAGCAGGGACCAAGCAACAGCTCACCCTGTTGCAGGGATTCGAACGATTCATAGCTGTCTTATTACAAAAGAATTTCAGAATAGACTGGAAAGAGAAGTTGCTGAATTGCAACTTATTACCAAACTTAAAACCATGGAGAGACCTGGTCGGAATAGAGACATTGGATTCTTACCTCATTATACATGATAAAGCTATTTTTAGCCATCTCACCCCTTGCTTTTTCCTGTAAGACCAATTGCAGTCATCAACAGGTTTACCACACCTGTCAGCTAATCACCCATTCCCACCACCCTTCTGAGTAATACCCTTCCCCACCCTCTCACTATATATAAGGGTCTGGGTACTTCTGTTTCAGTGTATCTGAAGAAGTGTGCATGCACACAAAAGCTCATACCAATAAGAAACTTAGTTGGTCTCTAAGGTGCTACTGGACTTGGGACGCGGGTGGCGCTGTGGGTTAAAGCACAGAGCCTAGGGCTTGCCGATCAGAAGGTCGGCAGTTTGAATCCCCAGGACTTGCTCCTGCAACTGCTCCTGCCAACCTAGCAGTTCGACAGCACATCAAAGTGCAAGTAGATAAATAGGTACTGCTCCGGCGGGAAGGTAAATGGCATTTCGGTGCGCTGCTCTGGTTCGCCAGAAGCGGCTTAGTCATGCTGGCCACATGACCCGGAAGCTGTACGCCGGCTCCCTCGGCCAGTAAAGAGAGATGAGCGCCGCAACCCCAGAGTTGTCCGCAACTGGACCTAATAGTCAGGGATCCTTTTACCTTTATACTATCCCTTGCTTTTTCCTGTAGGACTAATTGCAGTCGTTAACAGTAGTCAACAGGTTTACCATACCCATTGAGTCAACTACTCATCTTCTACTACCCCTATGAGAAAAAACCCTCCCCACCTTCCCACTATATATACAGAAGTCTGGTGACTTCTGTTTCAGTGTATCTGAAGAAGTGTGCATGCACACGAAAGCTTATACCCAGAACAAACTTAGTTGGTCTCTAAGGTGCTACTGGACAATTAAAAAAAAAATTAAAATTTATCTCCATTGTCTACATTAGAACAATAACCCCTAGCCCTCCCTTCCCTGCATTTAGACACACCCTTTGGAGCAGGGCAGCGATTCTTGCAAGGCAAGACAGAAAGGCAGTCGCTTCATGCAAGAGATAAGCGTATCTTATTCAATTGCAAGTGGCTTTGTTGACGAGTAGAAGATCCAATCATAGTCCCACTCGCGGGGGTAATGCTTTTGCAAAAAGGGGGGCGGGGATGCCTCCAGGGCTGTAGATGCTTATCCTCTCCCAATGCCTAAGGGAGTCCCAGCCTGATGGGATCAAAATCTGCAAAGTTTGTCTCCGGCATAGGAGCCAAGTCCTATAAAATATAGAATATTTGAGGCGGCCAGCCCCAAAGTTGGTGGACGTTGCCCTTCAAATGGTGTGCGTGTGCTGTTTCATGCGATCGATTATGTGGGTCGGGGTTTACCTAATCCAGTCCATTTCTAAGTCCAGGACACGCGCTGCCTCACAGGAAGAGCTGGGTGTCATCAGCATATTGCTGACAACGAAATTCTGGGCTCCAAAGCCCATAAACATGCTCTGAACTATCGGATCTAACTTTAAGCTGCTATTCCGCTCCCGCTCCCCACAAAGAAATGATAACCAGAAGCTATGGTTGTTGCTGATTGCATTTTAAATCATGCAATAAAATGCTTTTCTGAAATGCAGACACGCACCTCCTCTTTGAATGCAGAATAAGAGCAGGGATGCGACCTTGCCTGAATTGATTGGCTCCCTGATTACAGTCGCCTCAATTCTCCCTATATAGGGATAAGAATTGCAGATCTGCATTTGGAGCCTCTCAAGAGCTGATTGGCTGCCAAGTGAAGCGGCGTTGGCCCGCCCCCGCTTCTCCATTCACAACCATTATCCATTCATCAACAGAGTTGCAGTCTCCGATTGGCTACTTTTCTCGCGGCGGCGATTTTGATTTCGTTTCCGTCTGCTTCGCCTCCTCCTCTTGCTGCTCACCAGAGCTGCTCCGGATCGGGCAAAAAGGGGTCGCCTTGCTCCTCTCTCCGCCGGATTAGGAGCGCTACGAATTGCTGCTTTGGCCGGACGTGGAGCCGGAAGGATTCTCCGGCTCGGATCCGCTTTGCTCACCGATCTCCTCCCTCAAGATCACTAAGGTGAGAGAGATTCATTGCTCAATAGGCGCGCCTCACCCGGCAGGACTCTTTTCCCTAGTATAGCGCGCGGAAGATACGTGTACACGGTCGTGTGAATGGCTTTTATTTTGTGATACCCCCCCCCATCTTTCCTTTGCTCCCTATCTCTGCTCTGCCCGGACTCGGAAAAAGAAAGGTAAATTTATTCTCCGACCCCATTTGCAGACCCCGATCAAGGATTTGAGCGCGATTTATGGCTCAACAAGTTTGCGTGTAAAGCTGCAGGGTCCGTTCCCAAAAATTCCAGCGCCACCCACGCCCCTTTTAGCACTTCCCATGATTGGCCGCGACCTGCTGTTATTTGTGTCGCTGGATGAGCGTTTTAGGACTTTCCTATCGCTCGAGGTTTTGCTTTGTGTTTACACCTGGATTTTAGCCGATTTAACCTCTCCATCTTTTACTTTGCTAATTCGATAAGAGCCACGTTTTTGTACACAGCAGCTAAGAAACGCGGCAGATAATACGGCGTCCTCTTTGTGATCTACATCATGGGAACCATCCTCATGATTTTTAAAAATGAAGTTAAAAGTGCCTCTCTCACATCCAGCCCCCGGTTTACCTCCTCTCCTATGTCCTTTAAACATAAATCTTTATTGTCAACTGCCTAGAGATTTTATTATAAAAAGTGGTGTGTGTGTGTTAAATAAAATAAAATACAAAGGAAGCTGTTTCGGGACCAGGGTTTTCCCACACGGCGAAAAACTTCAATGGCAAGCTTAACTGAGGTGGCCTCCATTAAACATCCATGTTGATTTTCGATTGTATTTTTTATTGCTGCATTTATTATATTTTTGTTGCATTAAATGTTGAATTATTTGGAATGCAAATGGCAAATGTATTAAAATAGCACGCAAATATATATATATGAAGGAACAGAATGCAATTCAAAACCATTGACCACAGTGCATTGCAATTGCTAAAACAAGCAAGAAAATAATAGAATCGTAGAATTGCAGCATTGGAAGGGACCCCAAGGGTCATCTAATCCAACCCCCTACAATGCAGGTATCAAACCAAAGCAAATCATTAAGTGGTCTGCCAAGACCACCAGCAATTTTATAGCCGTCTATGGGGGAAAACATTGGGCAATTGCAGTTCAGGTTGCAGACATGGGTCCCTCCCAATCCTTCCTGGAGATTTTAGGAATTGAGCTAGGACCTTTGGTCTACAAAGCAGATGCAGAACAAAAACCTTATAGGGCTGGAGGGTGGGGAAAACAGGAACAGGGGGGAGGCGGCAAAGAGGGAGATCCCCAGCCGCGTCCCGCCTTAAATAGGGCAGGACACGCCCCCCGAGCCAGCCGATTGGCTGGCCAGGGGGTGACGCGGCCGGGAATCCCCCCAATCGCGCTGGGGCTGGGCCGTGATACCCATTGAGCCACAGACCCCATGGCTGTTCTGGCGAGGAGGAATCTGTCCCTCTTTTGTAGTTCTTGTGATGAGATTTGCCTTTCCTAAATACTTGAGGGAGGGTGATCATCTTTCTTTCCAGGGTGTAGGAGATGCATTTATTTGATCCCACATATAAAACGTAATAAAACGTCAAACATTAAAAAGTTCCCCATATAGAGCTGCCTTCTGATGTCTTCTAAAAGTTGTCTATTTCTTTCATCTCCTTGGCATCTGATGGGAGGGCCTTGCACAGGGTGGGTGCCACTGCTGAGAAGGTCCATGCGGATGGGGCAGGGCTTACATTTCCCATTTCAGATTAAAGTTCACAGGGATCCTAACTCTGCTCCATCTCTCTAACAGGTGCGGCTGGTCCGTTAAAACAGGAGTGAAGTCATGGATGTGGACAAGTACAGGAAGAGGTTCCAGAGTGAAGTCACCTGTTGCGTCTGCCTCAGTTACTTTACTCGTCCAGTAGAACTGGGCTGCGGGCACAACTTCTGCAAAACCTGCATCTTGAGGTGCTGGGAGGAGTCTGGTGAGAGAACCAGGTGCCCCGAGTGCAGAACGGTTGTAGAAAAGGACTTCAGGCAAAACAGGCTTCTCGCAGATTTGGTTGGAGTCGTCAGTGAGTGGGATTATGTTGCAGAGAGAGATGCTCAAAGGAGGCGCTCGGATTGTCAGAGGCACCAGAAGACCCTGGACCTCTTTTGCCGGGACGACGAAGCCCCCTTCTGTGGGGAGTGTGACACATCCCAAGGGCACAGCGGCCACAGGGTGGTTCCTGTGGCAGAAGCCGCCCAAGGCTACAAGGTAAGAATGAACCATTAATAGGAATGGCTAGTATATATGATGGGAATTAAAATCATAGAATTGTAGACTTGGAAAAGATCCTGAGGATCATCTAGTCCAACCCCCTGCAATGCAGGAATATGCAGTTGTCCCATAAGGTTATCGAACCTGCAACCTTGACAGTTATAAGCACCATGCTCTAACCAAACTGAGCCATTCAGCAATCAAGGTTAAAGGCTGTCCGCAAACCACTGTCTCCTCTGAGTGAGTGTTTATCCCTCTAATCCTAGGTGTGAGGGAGGCAGTCTGCTGTCAACTGACTCTGCACATGCTCAGGAGGCCTCTCATCTAATTATATTTTACACATCCTAAGACAGACATTGGCTTTTATGGGACTGAGGCTTGTTTATAAGACTCCACTAGATGTGTATATTAGGTATGATTATGTAAAAATAAATAAATTCAGCTGATCTAGAAAGACTGAACAATGTTAAGGTGGCCTTTCTGGGAAAATAAATGCAGCCAAAATGAGTGCACTTTGTAAATTGCTTTTCCTGTTTCAGAATCTCATAATACAAAGAGCAGAGCAAGCGTTGTAAGACTGGAAATAACTAATACATCAATTTATTTGGAATGGAAAGAAATGTACAATTGCTTTAGAAAGGCAAGCAAATAATAAAACCTAGAAGGATGATGTTTTGGGCATCTCAGAGTTTCTTGCTGTTATAAAGTGGGAGTTGTGCAGGAGTTGGCATACTGGCGTAAAGTTGAAGATAAACATTTTAGGCTCACAAAGACGATCCCATGAAAGCTGTTTTCAGAAAAATAATTCTGGGTGTCAAAGGAGGGTAGGAAAAAGTATTGTGATGGGTCAGATCAAGAGGTGAAGATTTCACCCCTTGGTTGTATTCCCATGTTAGCAAATCTATTTATATATACAGGTGCAGCCATTCAACAACAACATTAGAGACATAAAACATTAGAGACATACAACAACCCTGCTTTCTCCTGTTGCCAGCCCTAAACCACGCAAAGAACTCAAGATTCATGAGTTTTAAACCAGTTGTATTAATATAAGTATCACTGGTGCTTGACCTTAGGCTATTAGTGCAGGACCTGGTGTGTTGTTTCAGATGAGGAGGAGGGTGAAAGCAGATTTCAGATTTACAAGCAAAGTTCAGATCCACGTGCTTGGATAAATATATGGTCAGTTTTTTACGAAGCAAGCCATATATTCCAACAGCTTTAACCAACCTCTCCCAGCCATGCTGCTGCTGCAATCAAACTGCATAAAAACAACTGCATAAAAAACAAAATCCTCAAGGACTAAGAAACTTCAAAACAATCCTTGACTGCAGAGTTGACATGAACTCTTCTGCTTTCTGCATGTTATTATATCACATGTTAGAAACACTTTCTCAGCCACAATATCCACACTGTAGTATAGTAGCTTTTATTTGCATTAGTGGGCAATTTGTTTGAATGATAATTTAAAAAGAAGGAAATCCAACCTGTGATAGAAAGAGAATGACATTTTCTGGAGAAGGGGCTTTCTGGGTCTTTTCTCAAGATTTCTCCACAACACTCATCAGTTGCATCTGTCGTAGGCTCAATACTCTGGATGGCAGAAGCAGGCTCTTAAATATCAAAAACGGGGAACAATAACATAATTCAACTGTCCTCTCTCTTTTCTTTTTCTCTCTCTGTCTCACAGATGATTATGATAGTTATTGCCTAGAAACCTCTCACCAGGACCCAAATAAGAACTTTGGCTTTTCTTTTCAGGATCAGCCCTGCAGGTGCCTGGAGACTCTGAAGGAGGAGGAGGCAGAAAACCTGGCGGATAACAGAACAGAAAAGAACAGTCACCGCCTGCTTGTAAGTGTCGCTCTTACTGGGAAGTAAGCAAATAATCAAAAGAACTAATGTTTGGTGGGTAGATAAAAAATTACATAATAATGACGCCATCAGGCAGCTCGACTCTTTTAGATGTCTATTTATTTGGGGATGCCTGTTCTGATGGGAAGGAAAATTTTCCTTTGCTTGAAAATTGATGCATCATCTGTGAAAATACAAAAATTCAGAAGCACCCGCCCTGTTCCCCTGCAGTAATCCTCAAACCCTCTTCATTCTGCAGAAGGAGTGGCAATGTTGCTAACAGCCTGTTTTTCTTTCCATCTATTTCTTTCTTCTTCTTTTTTATAAGTAATATTTTATTAGGCTTTTTCAAAGAATTAACAACCAACAAAAATCAACAAAAATCACAAAAACAACAAACATCAAAAATACAAACAGAAAAACAGAAAAAAGGAAAATATAAAAAAGCAAATTTAGCATAAAAAAGAACTCTCTTTCAGATTAATAACCTTCAAAACCTTATTTTCCTTACTTACACCTGCCTTCCTTTCTTGTATTCCACTTTAAAGATTAGTTCAGGAAGATCATTCATTATTCATTTTAATCCTTTATCCCTCCCTTTATAGTCTTATTTGTCTTAATCACTAGAACCCCTTCATTTCGTTTTCAGAGCCCTCAGCATTCATAAATTTTACAATGTTTTTGTAAATAGACTTTAAACTTCTTCCAGTCCTCTTCCACCTGCTCTTCTCCCTGATCTCGGATTCTGCCGGTCATTTCTGCCAGTTCCATATAGTCTATTACTTTTCTTTCCATCTATTTCTTGCAGGAGAGACTAATGTCTGATAGGCAGAAGATGAAGGGTGAGTTTAGGCAGCTACATTCGTTTCTGGATGAACAGGAATACCAACTGCTGAAGCAGCTGGAAGAGGTGGAGGATGAGATTGCGAGGAAACTCATGCAGGTAGGAGAGTGGCATAAGCAGCCCAAGCTTTTCTCCAGGTCAAGGCCACGACCAGACCAGTCTCTGCCTTTGTCATTGTACAAAAAGTGACGTTGCTTGGTTTTGTGGAGCTGGTACTCTTATGTTAGGTGCAGGAGCATCTAAGAGAACAAGCAGAGAATGCTCACCTTAATGCAGACTAGAGATTTCTGTTACTTAACGATGATGGAATCAGATGTTTTCTGCTCTTGCCTGATGATGGGTCTGCTGCTGGCTCCCAAATTAGTGATGTTGCTTTCCTGGCCTGTTTGTGAGCTTCCCCGAAGCTGCTCTTGCCAAGAGGGGACTGGACTGGGTGGACTCTTGGTCTGATCCTTTACTGGTCCTCTTTTGTTCCTGCTCAGGGCTTCGTTTAAGAGGCTGTGTTCTGATTTTATGACATTACCCTGCTTGGACTGGGGCATGGGGCGTGGGCTTCGAAGTATGGCCAGTCGTGGATGTTAAGTGTTCTCTTCTTTTTCTCTTTCCCCTGCAGGATCATGGAAGCACTGTCGCAGAGGTAAGCAGATCCCTCTTCTTTTCCTTTGCGCTTTGCGGTTTGGTGAAGGATGTGGACTGCAGGAAAAACACCCGTTGTTCCCAAGGGGACAGTGTGGGTCTTTGTGACTTCCAACTTTTAACAAATCATTAGGGGCCCATTTTTTTTCTGAGGTTCCTATTTTCACTTCAAAACTCCCCTCCCCTCAGTTTCTATCTTTTGATTCCTCCTGCTGTAATTCTGATTCTCTTTCCTTTTCCAAAACAGGGATGTATCTATGGCAGCATTTCAAGTTGCTATCTAAAATCTAAACAGTTTATTTCCCATTGGAGTAATGTTTTACGTCTCCATCCTCTGTCCATCCTCTGTCCTCTGGGACTGGGTGGTGCTGTGGGTTAAACAACAGAACCTAGGACTTGCTGAACAGAAGGTCGGCGGTTTGAATCCCCGCGACGGGGTGAGCTCCTGTTGCTCTGTCCCTGCTCCTGCCAACCTAGCAGTTCGTAAGCACGTCAAAGTGCAAGTAGATAAATAGGTACCGTTCTGGCGGGAAGGTAAACGGTGCTTCCGTGCACTGCTCTGGTTCGCCAGAAGCGGCTCAGTCATGCTGGCCACATGAGCTGTACGCCGGCTCCCTTAGCCAATAAAGCGAGATGAGTGTCGCAACCTCAGAGTCGGCCACGACTGGACCTAATGGTCAGGGGTCCCTTTACCTTTACCTCTGTCTATAGTCTTGGGCTTCTTTGCTATTCATCTTAATGTGGGGTTCCCTGCTTGTATTAATTTTAGGTTTTGTTTTTCTTCCCACAAACCATTGTTCACACTTCTATTCCCTGCACTGCTTATTTCAATATTCCTTTCCTCTTTTCACCTTGAATCTGTCCAACTGGTTTCTGAGACCTTTGTGATCCTCTCCCCTCTCCTCTTTTTGCTTCCTTTGGGAATTCTAGGTTGGAGAGCAAGTTGGTGTTTTTAAACCTTTTATTTCTCTACAGGCACGAGGAGAGATCAACATTTGGGGGTACCAACAATATCCCTTATGGATTGATGTGCAAATTCTGGAACTTCGGTCATATCAATACATTTCTGGCAAGTTCCTTTCGGCAGTTCAAAGGTAATAGCTACAAGAATTTCATGCTAGATATTGAACTGGTGCAAATGGGGTTGAGGAAAAATTCATGGTGTCCTCTGTAATGCTAGGAGACCAACAACATTGTGAAGGCCACAACTTTCCCTTCTCTAAAAACATGTTTATTCCTTCAGCCACAGTGTCTCACATGGAGGACACTAGAAAAAACTCACACACTTCTGTGGCTAAAGCTTTGTATGACTTAAGGCCCACTGAAATCAGGGTTTTTTTGCAAGAATATTGTGGTGAATTTAATAATCAGTGTGGTAGTTTCAATGACACTCTGTCACAACTCAAGTTTAGCCAGGCCTTAGGCTCCAACACTTTAAGGCAATAACCTTAAGAGGCAGATTTTCAAAAGCAGATAGTAGTTATCCTTGTGTATGATGATGAGAGAGACAAAAGATCTCATAAACAGAAGTCAAATGTGATTATTTGGAAACAAGTGAAAAGACAAACAAGGTTCTGGAAACCGAGGAACGGTTGAGGGAGTTGGGTATGTTTAGCCTGGAATAATAATAATAATAATAATAATAATAATAATAATAATAATAATTATATTTATACATACATATAATACCCCACCCATCTGATTGGGCCTCCTCCGCCACTCTGGGTGGCTTCCAACAAAATATTAAAATACCGTAATACATCAAACATTAAAAGCTTCCCTAAATAGGGCTGCCTTCAGATGTCTTCTAAAAGTCTGGTAGTTGTTGTTCACTTTGACATCTGGTGGGAGGGCGCCACTACCGAGAAGGAAAAGAGCAGACTGAGAGCACGATATGATAGCCATCTTCAAATATCTAAAGGGCATGTAAGATGGAGCAAGATTGCTCTGGAGGGTAGGACTCAAACCAATGGCTTCAATTTACAAGAAAGGGGATTCTGACTAGACAATGATATCAACTGACTCTTTTTCTATGCTATAACATCCATTAACACCACGACGGTCTGATGCTTTATCTCTCTTGCTTTCCCTTTCACAGGCACTATAAGATCAGGACTCTCTGTGCGGAAAGGTAAGCTGAGGAGTCTCGATCAATCAACCATAGTCCCTGGCCAGTTGGCTATTGGGAGAGAGAATGGTGGCCTCAAAGAGCTTTGGAAATAGGACAAACTGGGCTACCCTAGCAGCGAAGCCAAGGGGAGGCCCACAGTCCAGTCAGGAAAGGAACCCCTTCCTCAATGATCCCTGGAGTGGATCTAAGCCAGTGGTGTCCAAAGCTTTTTCAAAGAGGGTCAGATTTGATGAAGTGAAGAGCTGTGGCGGCCAACCAGAGGGGAAACCAAAGATGTTGAGGTTTTTTAGGGCTGGAGTTGTTGAGCTGCTTTTAGGATTGACGTTGTTGTTGTTGTTTTAGGATTTTACATCAGGAGATAAACTCACAGGGGCAATTAGGCCCCCAAAACGGTCTTTGGGCATGCCTGACCTAAGCTCACGATGTCTATCCTCCTGGCTAATTCCTCTCTGCGTGACGCCAATACCTCTTCTCCTGCACAAAAGCTGCTTTCTCTCCTGCCCATCTTTCGCGTGGGGCCAAAAAGCTGCCTTGAGCTGCCTGTGGGGACACACCCCTTCGGAAAAACAAGAGGAATGTGTAGGAAAGTAACTTCCAGTGTATTTCTTAATTTTTAAAATCAAAGGATCATGTGTGTGTCTGTGTATCAATGCCATTAAATAGATGACAACAAACTCTAGAATGTGTTGTGTTTTCCTTTGGTCTGGTGCCTGAGGCTAAGTCAGGCATCCCCCTACACATCTGGACGCAGGGGTACATTTGGCAATCTAGGATACCGCTGCAGGGACTACAAATTGTCAATTTCACAAAACGGAAGCAATCAGTGTTAGAAAGTTTAGATACGTAAGTTAATTGCCAAATGACACCTTAAACCTGTGTTACAGTCGCCACAATGGAATGTCTGGGCACCATTGGGGGGGGGGCAATGCCATTTTTTATTATTTCTATTATGTACTGAAGTTCTCACCCTGGGCCAGCAGGGGGATACTGTAGATAGTTCAGGTCCACATATGCAAATAAGGGATCGAAAGTGACGTTCAGTGATTGGATAGTTACAGAAAGTGGTTACAGTCGCATTGTACTGGAGCTCTATATAAGCAGGCTGGCTGAACCCTTCAGTTCAGTTCTGACCTGTGAATAAACAAGAGCCGTTTGCAGAATTGCTGTGTTGTCTGATATGTTCACCCACAACTTAACAATTTCATTTCTATACTGCTTTATATTTTAAACAAAAAAACTCAAAGCGGTTTACAACACACTGAAACATCAAAGGTAAACAATTCAGAATAAAACAAATTCAGGCTTCAAGGAGAATATTTCCGATCCTTCCCCATATTTATTTACCTAAACTTTATAGAGCTGCCCCATAGTAGAAGGACTCTAGGAAGCCAGTGTAGCCTAGTGGTTAGAGTGTTGGGACTAGGACCTGGGAGGTCAGGGGTCAGATCCCCACTCAGTCTTGAGATGCACCAGATGACCTTGGAGTCAGTCACAGCCTCTTCACCTACCTCACAGGGTCGTTGTGGGAATTAACTGGGGGTGTACTTAGAATCATAGAATCATAGAGTTGGAAGAGACCACAAGGGCCATCGAGTCCAACCCCCTGCCAAGCAGGAAACACCATCAGAGCACTCCTGACATATGGTTGTCAAGCCTCTGCTTAAAGACCTCCAAAGGAGGAGACTCCACCACACTCCTTGGCAGCAAATTCCACTGTCGAACAGCTCTTACTGTCAGGAAGTTCTTCCTAATGTTTAGGTGGAATCTTCTTTCTTGTAGTTTGGATCCATTGCTCCGTGTCCGCTTCTCTGGAGCAGCAGAAAACAACCTTTCTCCCTCCTCTATGTGACATCCTTTTATATATTTGAACATGGCTATCATATCACCCCTTAACCTCCTCTTCTCCAGGCTAAACATGCCCAGCTCCCTTAGCCGTTCCTCATAAGGCATCGTTTCCAGGCCTTTGACCATTTTGGTTGCCCTCCTCTGGACACGTTCCAGTTTGTCAGTGTCCTTCTTGAACTGTGGTGCCCAGAACTGGACACAGTACTCCAGGTGAGGTCTGAAGTACTGTGTCCAGTTCTGGGCAGCACAGTTCAAGAAGGAGAAAAAGGGTGGAGAAAAGGGTGGTATATAAATGCATTAAGTTCTCCTGAATATCTAAGTAAGAAAGCTGGAGGGGCCAGCCAGGTCGAGACGTCAGTCGCGAACATGGTATCCAAAAATCTCAGCATGGTCGCAATTGGACCTGAGCCAGTTGCAAAAAGCGCCTGGGGGATTTTTAACGCTGGAAACTGGGTGATCACACAAATCCCCAGCCAGAGGCAAAATGCCTAGAACATCCCTTAAAAAATAAAAATAAGATAAAACCTGGCAACCCCTTCTCAAAATACAGGAAGGCCCACCCCCAACCCCACATTATATTATGGAATGGCAAATTTCTGGACATTTATCCATACACTGTACACTATTGGCCAAAATTGTGTAAACCTTTTGGAACATAGGTAAAGGACCCCTGGACGGTTAAGTCCAGTCAAAGGCAACTATGGGGTTGCAGCCCTCATCTCTCTTTCAGGGCGAGGGAGCCAGTGTTTGTCCACAAACAGCTTTCCGGGTCATGGGGCCAGCAGGACTAAACTGCTTCTGGTGCAACGGGACACCGTGACAGAAACCAGAGCACATGGAAACACTGTTTACCTTCCTGCCACAGTGGTACCTATTTATCTACTTGTACTGGTGTGCTTTCGAATTGCTAGGTTGGCAAGAGCTGGGACAGAGCAACGGGAGCTCATTCCATCGCGGGGATTCAAACCGCCGGCCTTCCAATTGGCAAGCCCAACAGGCTCAGTGGTTTAGACCACAGCGCCACCCGTGTCCCTACTAGAACATAGAGAGGACAGTGGAGAATGGTATTACTCCAAAAAGAAAAAAGAAAAAAAGTGGTGTTATGAGTAATCAAATCTCGGAAATAAACTTTTTCCAAAATTGACCTTTTTCGAAATGGGCTTTTGTCATGATTAAACAATTTAAATGGCAAGTTCACAAGATAAGCACCTTGGAGCATTGCTTGCTCATAATATCTGCCATCTCTCTCTCCCCCAGCCCAGCCCCCCCCGTGTCTTTGGACATCGCTGCATGCAATCAAAACAGAATCCTCTTTAAATTCTTTTATTGCAGTGGTTTATTAAACATCCGAGTGTTTCTCTTAAAAACAGGTCCTTTTAAAAAAACATTTAAATCAGCAATAGTCAAAAGGAAATAGGAGACCACTGCAAGCAGATGAAAACGTTAGCAGGGACAGAATATGCCAAATTAGAGGGTCTATCAGAAAAAATAAAGAATAAATCAAAACAGGAATTTGTTTCAAAATGGTACGTTTTCAAAGAATATCTGAAAAATATAGTAGTTTAAATTCTGTTGCAGCATTCGAGGAACTTCAGTAATAGTTGCAAGGTAGATATAAGAAATTGGATATAGAATGGAAAATCAAGCTAATGAGGCAGAGATACTTTGAATCGGCGAATAAAACGGGAAAATTCCTAGCCTGGCAACTGAGAAAAAGACAGAAGCAGAATGTTATAAATAAAATAATGGTAAAAGAAGAATTAATAGTAGACCCAAAAAGAATACAAAAAAACTTCCTCCAATTTTATGAGGAGCTATATAAGAAAAGAGAAGAGGACCCTGCCCAAATAGAAAAATATCTAGAGAACTGTACAGGGAAGACTGTTACAGAAGAAGAAAGAACTCAACTAAATAGACCTATAAGTACGGAAGAGATTGAGAATGCGATAAAAAAAATGAAACCGGGAAAAGCACCAGGCCCGGATGGTTTATCCGCCAAATATTATAAAGTGTTAGGAGGTCAACTGACACAAATACTCTGTGATACTATGAATAACAGCTTAAGAGGAGGGAAAATACCCGAGTCGTGGAGGGAAGCTTTTATAACACTAATCCCCAAACCAGACACAGACAAATTGAACATGAAGAATTATAGGCCAATATCGTTATTAAATAACGACTACAAAATATACGCTGACATCATGGCGAACAGACTGAAAAAATGCCTAACAAATCTAATTCACAAAGACCAAGCGGGTTTTCTCCCAAATAGATTCATGAAAGATAATGTGAGACATGTCGTAAACATAATTGAATATTTGGAGATTAACAATAACATACCGGCGTCCCTGATTTTTATTGACGCAGAAAAGGCGTTTGATAACGTCTCCTGGTGGTTCCTACTAAAATCTATAGAAAAGGCAGGGATTGAGGGTGAATTTTTGAAAGGAATACAGGCAATATACTCAAACCAGCATGCGAAATTGGTAATAAACAATAACCTCACGGACAGATTCAAAATAGAGAAAGGAACGAGGCAGGGATGCCCCCTTTCCCCGCTCTTGTTCATTTTGGTTTTAGAAATCCTGGCGAATAAATTAAGGTCAAAGTCAGAGATAAAAGGGATCAAAATTGGATCTAAAGAATATAAACTAAAAGCATACGCGGACGACCTGATGTTATCTCTAGAAGAACCGCAAGAAAGCATGGGTAAAGCACTGGAGATCTTGGAGGAGTACGGTAAACTATCGGGCTTTAAATTGAATAAAACTAAAACAAAAATGCTGATGAAGAACCTGAGAAATGATGTGAAGGAAGGATTAGAAAGACAATATGGAATTAAAGTGGTTAAAAAAATAAAATATCTAGGAATCTGGCTAACACCCAAAAATATAAATTTAATCGAAGACAATTATACGCCAACATGGAACAAAGTTAAAAAAGATCTGGATGTCTGGAATAGGGTGAACCTTTCGTGGCTAGGCAGAATGGAAGCGATAAAAATGAACATACTCCCTAAGATGCTGTTCCTATTTCAAAATATACCTGTTATCAGAGGGGCCAAAATATTTAAGGACTGGCAGAAAACTCTGTCAAGATTCATATGGCAGGGAAGAAGGCCAAGGATCAGATTCAAATTACTCACAGACTGTAAGGAGAGAGGAGGGCTGGCAGTACCTAATTTAAAATTATACTACGAAGCGGCCTGTCTTTGCTGGGTCAAAGATTGGATAACTTTAGAGAATACGGACTTATTAGACGTAGAAGGGGCTGACAATAGGTTCGGCTGGCATGCCTACCTCTGGTCAAATAAAGAAAAGGTACACAAAGGGTTTTCGAGCCATATCATCAGAGGTCCCCTGTATGAAGTTTGGGGAAAAAATAAAAAATTGTTAGAATGGAGACCACCTTGGTGGCTATCCCCAACAGATATCTTATCAATCAAAAAAATAAACCTGGAAGAGCGAAAACTGACATATGAAGATTTACTGGTAAGATCCCAAGATAGCTGGAGATTAAGGCCGTACGAAGAATTAAAGGAGAGGTTGACGGGTTGGTTTCAGTATCATCAGATCAATGCAAAGTGGACGGAAGATAAAAAAACAGGAATGAACGAAAAGAAGTCCAAATTCCAGATCGAAATAATTGAAAGCAAATCCAAGATATTATCTAAGATGTATAGCATTTTATTGGAATGGGAGACTAAAGATGAAGAAATTAAGGAAGTTATGGTCAAGTGGGCGATGGATCTGGGGCATAATATAGAATATGAAAAATGGTTAAAATTGTGGAATGAGGGATTAAAATTTACGGCAAGCGCTGCAATTAG